GAAACTGAGCTCAAGTCAATGTTACAAGAGGTTTGATGCCTATGTACTGAAGATAGGGTTTAAAAGAAGTGAATTTGATGCTTGCTTGTATTTTAATGACATAAAGAGCGGTTGTGAAGTCTACTTGCTGCTTTATGTCGATGATATGTTGTTAGCTGCAATATACACAGTTCATTGAAAATTTCAATTTCAAAATGTGAAAATATTTTGAAAAATAGAACAATCAAAGTGCACAAATAGGTCACACAAAGTGATCCTAAGGCTGCAGTATACACAGTTCTAGATTTTCAGAATTTCATGATACTCAAGATCTCAGTATCAAGGGAATGTTCAAATAGGTCAAATCTAGGTGTTCTAACAGAATAATCAATATAATATGAAGGCATGTCAACAAAAAATTCAAATTCTCGTGCAAAATAGTCTCACACGGTGACTGTTTAGTTAAAGCAATTCTTGCTATCAAAATCAACACTTCAAATAGAGCAAATAATTCAAAATTTTCTAGCAAAAACAATGTTATCCCACATAGTAACCTCAATCCTAATATCACCACACACAATAACGCGCTAATGCTGAAATTTAATTTGAGATAAGTCAATATACCGAGAAGACCAATCCGAGTCCGTAAATACCGAGAGATGCGAATTTATCACTTTAGAGCCACCACTATTCGCCCTAAAGTCTTAGGAATCAATTAACCACGATCTATCCCGAACGCGCAAAGAACAAAGTCATCCAGACTTCACTATATAACCTGAAATAGAAAACTAACAACACCAAATCGTTAGAAATCACGTTAGAAATATTTTTCTTGAAGAAATTTTCCCTCGTAGACAATGACATGCCTCCATGGAGGCCTCTACGCTCCACCGCCGACGACCGTCACCCCCACACACCGACTACCCAGAAAATCCTCCACCTGCAGATCAAGATTCTGGTCTTCGTTTACTCAATCGCCTCCTGGTTTGGTCGGAATTGTCGATTGCAGGTCCCTTTTTTGGGAAATTTTGGACAGTCTCATTCCAGCCAATTTCTGCTTCAATTCTAATATGATTTTGGTCAAAAATTCCACCATCAACATGGCTCCATCATATGTAGTGGAATGGACCTTCAATTGGTTGAATCTGGGCTCAATCTATCAATCTCGACCTTATCAAACATCTCCAATCAACGACCTAAAATCACACCACTTCTTCGCTTCGGTTGCTAACAATTGCATTGACAAAGGACACAATAATGGAGTGTTATTTCAGCCACAAAGGCTCCCACAGAAAACCCACAAAGGCAAGAAAAATGAAAAGACGACAAGCACAAAGCAAGGAAAAAACTGCCAGTTTTCTTTCTCACTGAAAAGGGGGAAAAATAACACACGCTCCTTGCAAAAGTGGCAGCGCACGCATACACACACACATATATAAGTGTTAGGTTTAGTAATGGGTCGAGCCCCAAAAAAAAAAACCAATAAATGGATCAAGCATTTTGCCTTGCAATTTCACTTCGTCATAAATTCTAACTCTTTATGCACTTCATCAGGGCCGGCCCTGAGGCGAGGCGAGTGAGGCCGCCACCTCAGGCCCAAGCATGGAGGGGGCCTATTTTTGGCCCAATTTTTTTTTTTTTTTAATTTGAGACAAGGCCCAAATCT